TATATAATTTTTATATTTTGATTGTTTTTTTTCTGATCTACGCCAGAATAAAAAGATCATTTTATGGTTGCATAAGCCGAAAATAAATTGTTACCTTTGTAGCGCCCCAGCCAGTAACAATTGCAGATGAATAAGGTTCAGGATCATGACCTTCTGAAACCAATGTAATTTTCTTGTGCTTGGTCCCTCTTATTATTTTAGTTTTTAACCACAGAATAGCCACGTCACTATCATGTGTCACATTGTTGTAATCTGGATGAATATAGACATCTCTTACTAAACTAAACTTGCCTAATTGCCAGTTTGCATCTCCATAACGAACTTTAAGGTTGTCGCCTATTCCATTAGATCCAAAATTTTCATATCTAAAATAAACAATGAGTGCTGAAGCGTGATATGATTATTCATGTCTCCAGCATCAAAATTGTATTTAATTTTTGGATTTCAGAATATTTGGTATTTACTCTTCCACACAATGTGCTGCAGTTAGCACATTTTCTTCATCGATGATAATACCACCACAAACATGATGATCATCTTTTTGAATCGATACTTGCCAAGGAACAATTCTTATATTATCTACTTCCATTCCTCCGATGATACGATACTCTTTTTCTGTAACAGTTAGCCTCATCTAAAATAATGTGTAAACTAGTGGCGTATGGTGTCTTAAGGTAAATTGCTGGAAACTCCCGTACCCAAATTTAATTTCCTTTACAGAGATACCAATTTTTTATAAAACTTTCAAAAAATTAAATTTTTGTGAATAGAATAACTTTTTTTGAAAATTTTTATTTTTTAACTTTCCGGAGGGCAAGTTACAGTAATCAGTTTCAAAGATTTCTGAACATTTTGGCATACTTTAGGAAAAATGGATACAAATATTCATAATAAATTTCAAAATTATCAAAAAATTCGAATTTAAAAAAAATGAAGAAATTTCTTGGAAACATCACATAAGTTGTTTGTAGAATAAGCTCATCGCCCAATTAAACTAGTGGCATCGTTTCTTAAGACAAATTGCTGGAACTTTCCGTACCGTAACGAAATGTTCGAGGAATATTAAATGTTTTTAACTAGATTATTATAAATACTGTAACATTTGTCTGATATTTATAAGAATTATATAACCTGATTTACAAAGTTAAAGTTATTATTTAAATTATATAAGTGAACTTTAAAACTTCAGCCGGAATTCAATTGACATCTGAATTATATTCAATATACAAAAAAATGACATTTTTTTTCATCCGATTTCAATGATCTAAAAAACATTCAATTAGCAATGATTGGGAGAAATGGTTATTAGTTTTTGGCAAAAGCAGGTCCAGCCATTTCAAGAATACAGAGCTAAATGTACAAAAAACAGCAGTTTTTGAGATAAATAAACAACCGATTTGAATGATTCAAAATTAATTCTGCTTGTGTTGACAAAACAATTGCTTCAGAGAAAAAAAAATTCAATTTTTTTAATTTCCAACATTTTTTTTGTATATCAAAAGTAATTCCATCTTAATTTTAATTCTGGCTATAGTTTTAAAGCTCACTTATATACTTAAATATGAAACTAGTGGTGTATGGAATCGTGCCTTTAGGCAAATTGCTGGAACTTTCCGTACCGTAACGAAATGTTTGACGAATATTAAATGTTTTCAAATAGACTATTATGAATACAGTAACATTGTATAATATTTATAAGAATTATATAAACTGAATCACAAAGTAAAAAATATTTATGTAAAGTATATGGGTGAGCATTAACTTTAGCCAGAATTAAAATTGAAATCAGAATTATTTTCGATATACAAAAAAATGAAATTTTGGCCTGCTTTTGCCAAAAACTAATAGCCATTTCTCCTAATCTTTACTAATGGAATATTTTTTAGATTATTTAAATCGGATAGTTTGTTCTCTCAAAAACTCGATTTCTATTTTCTGCACTCTTTGTTCCTTATCTCCGTATCGGCTGGACCTGCCTTTGCCAAAAACTAATCAGCATCGAATCGAATGTTTTTTGAACCATTCAAATCGGTTGATCCGTGCGCCCGAAATCGTGAACAAAAAAATGCGGACACACAAAACACACCCCCTTCAATTTTTTCTCAAGTATGCCAAAATGTTCAGAAATCTTCAAAACGTCGAGAAATGCAAAAATTTCCTACGGGAAGTTAATAAATAATATTAGCTTTGTAATTCAGGTTTTATAATTCTTATAAATATTAGACAATATTACAGTATTTATATTAATCTAATTTGAAAACATTTATTGTTTTCGAACATTTGTTACGGTACGGGAAATTTTACCAATTTATCTTAAGGCGCGGTGCCATATACCACTAATTTACTTTTTATATTGGATCTTCAAATCGGACGCTCGGTTATCTCAAAAACTGAATTAAAATTTCTGGCACTTTTTTGCATTACTTTTTGCTAAAGGGCTTGCCCGTAGGTAAGTGGTTAAGAGCGGCGGGACCTGAATCAGAGGTCCCGAGTTCGATACCCACTTCGAGCAGCCTTTTGTCAGGCAGCAGTGACAACGATTTTTATTCGGAAATATAGACAGCAATATATTTCCAAGTGAAAATATCTCTTGCCCGGCATTGCTACACCAATAAAAAAAGTCAGCTCTATTCGATTAAATCTAATAACAAAAAAATCATCAAATATGGATGGATTGTTATGTTAACCATTATGTTAACCATTGGTTACCATCTAAAAAATACGAAGAAAGGAGAAGTTTCAGCCCAACAGCTCATAGGACGTAAGGTTCTGATTGCTGTTAAAATATAAAAAAAAACTTTTTGCCAAAAACTAATCACCACGTCTCCTCATCAATAAACGACCTGAATGTTTTTTGAATTATTCAAATCGGTTAATCCATGTTTACGAAATCGTGGACAAAAAATTGTATCCACTACACACACATAAACATTTTTAAGCTATGCCAATATGTTAAGAAATCTTTGAAACGTAAAGATATATGAAAAATTTATTTTCGATTTTTTTTTGCGAAAACTAACTAAAGTAAAATATTCCCAAAAATATAATAGATAATGAAAATACAAGGAAAATATGATGATAGAGTAGGTCTATAAATTAACACTTTAGAAAATTGTCTATTCAAATTATCTATAGATATTAATAATTATAAATTTTACCTAGCTCTGGCGGGAGTTCGGAAAGACATATCCGATCAAGGCGATTATTAACAGAAGTTCCTTCATCTTGATTTCACCTGTCTGTATTCGTCACTAAAATATTTAGTCATTTTTTTATGTTTATATGCAAAACTTGATAAAACTTATGCAGTAAACGAGTTAACATATTTGTTATTCAAAATCTAGGCAAAAATAATTACACGCTTATTTAAATAACAGTTTTCAATCATCAATTCAATATCAATATGAAGTAATCGGATTCAATATCGATAAAAAATATTATAATTCAAATGTTTATGAGCACAATGACTAAATTTATGGTTTATAAAAATAATATATGTAAGATCGATTTGTTAAAGTTGCATAGATTTGTCTAAAATTACATTGTGAACCTGCATTAATTTAAATAAGGATATTTGTATTATTTTGTTTTATAGAACAACACTGGCTAATAGATTATCATTAATGTATTTTAGTGTTGTGTCTTATCTTATGACAGATTTAACTTGGATATTTATCTTAATATTTATAATTCATGGATTGAGAAGTTACAAAAACAATTTTCAGTATATATGCACCTTAACATTTTTAGGGCAGATACACTGCAACTTGTGATAATTTAAAAATCAAGAAAATTGTCATAAAATAAGAAAAAAATATTTTAAAGTTTTAGAAGTTTATCAATTCTTCATTTCATCAATACAAGTAAAATGTTTTTTGAATCATTCAAATCGGGTACTCCGTTCTCTCAAAAACTGAATCATTGCCCCTTCGGAACGTCTGCCTTCACCAAAAACTACCATCACGTTTTTTCATCAACAGGAATCGAATTTTTTTGAACCTTTCAATTGGTTGATTCGTGTGCCCAAATGAACGAAAAATTGTATCCAAACTACACATACACACATACATCCATTTTTTTCTAAGGTATGCCAAAATGTTCAGAAACCTTCAAAACGTAAATATATGCAAAAAATTTTCAGTTTTGATTTTTTGCGATTACTATAACTTACCCTACAGGAAGTTAATAAAAAAA